GCAAGGCTGACGGTCATCGGGAGAGAGAGGGTACTTTTTTGAGTTCTTTGTGAAAACACAGAGCTATCACGTGGGCTGAGTAAACTCTCAGATCAGGTCCTTTAGCATTAAAGTGGAGGTATTTGAGGGAAAACAAGAGTTATTTGAAGGGAAATCTCCAGGAAAGACTGTCTGAGTATTAGTTACGTGGAAACGGATAGGAGAAACTATCAGTGTATCAGGAAAATAAGAAAAACTGTTCTTAATTCGTTGTATACACCTTAAAACTCTCAACATGTTTTGAAATTCAGTATCTTATCTGACATTCATAATGATTCTGTGAAGTGGGTTTTGTCCCTGATTTATAGAGGGAAGTACAGAGGGTTGGGGAGAAGGAAATGGCAACCCACTCCAGTCTTCTTGCCTGGGGAATCCCATGGATGGGAGCCTGGTGGGCTACAGGCCGTGGGGTCGAACAGAGTTGGTCTAGGCTAAAGCAAGGTGGCGCAGACGCACACAAGGTCAGAGAAGTCAGGCTGCAGTTTCCCCAGAGTCCAGACTCCAGGAGACTGCACCCTGGAAGGAAGAGTGGGAGGCGCAGCATGACCAAGTATTAGAGAGACACAGACCAAAACCACAGTGAGGGGTCACCCCACGCTGGTCACAACGGCCATCATGGGAACGTCTACAAGCAAATGCTGCAAGGGTGTGGAGAAGAGGGGGCCCTCAGACACTGCTGGTGGGAATGCAAACCGGTGCAGCCACCGTGGAGCAGTGTGAGCGAGGGAGTGCAGGTCGCTCAGTCCTGTCCGACTCTTTGCGACCCCATGGACCATACATACAGTCCATGGAATCCTCCAGGCCAGAATACTGGTGTGGGTAGCCATTGCCTTCTCCAGGGGATCTTCCCGAACCAGGGATCAAACCCAGGTCTTCCACATTGCATGTGGATTCTTTACTATCTGAGCAACCAGGGAAGCCCATGGAACAGTAAGGAGGTTCCTTAAAAAACTAAAACTAGAGCTACCATATGATCCAGCAGTTTCATTCCTGGGCATATATCTGGAGCAAGCTCTAGTTTTAAAACTCTTTAATTCATGTACCCCAGTGTTTATAGCAGCACTGTTCACAATAGCCAAGACATGAGAACAACCTAAATCTCCATGCACAGGTGAATGAATAAAGGAGATTCTATATACATTAATATATGTACGTGCATGCATGCTAAGGTATCTCACTCGTGTCCGACTCTTTGCAACCCATGGACTGTAGCCCACCAGACTCCTCCATCCATGGAATTTTCCAAGCAAGAATACTGGAGCGAGTTGCCATTCCCTCTTCCAGGGGTTCTTCCCAACCCAGGGATTGAACCCATGTCTCTTGTGTCTCCTTCTTTGGCAGGGGGGTTCTTTACCACTAGTGCCACCTGGGAAGCCCAATGTATGCACATATATTACTATAATACATATGTTACTATATACATATAGTATATATATATATATATATATAGAGAGAGAGAGAGAGAGAGACAATGGAATATTACTCAACCATAAAAATAAATGAAATATTGCCATTTGTAGCCACATAGATGGACCTAGAGATTACCATTCTAAATGAAGTCAGAAAGAGAAAGACATATTAACACCATATAATATCATTCATAAGTGGAATCTGAAAAAGGTGATACAAATGAGCTTATTTCCAAAACAGAAACACTCACACACAAAAGAAACAACCCTCTGGGTACCAAAGCAGGTGAGGGATAAATTAAGAAGATGGAATTCGCAGATACACACTGCTGTATATAAAATATGCACCAAACAAGAACCTACTGCATTGCACAGGGAACTGTGCTCAATATCTTGTAATAACATATAATGGAAAAATATATGTACATAATGCATGTATTCAGAGAATTAATTTAAATGTGTATGACAGATATGTATATATGCATATATAACTGAATCACTTTGCCGTACACGTGAAACTAATGCAACATTGTTAATCAGCTATACTTCAATTAAAAATCTAAAGAAGTTCCCTGGCAGTCTAGTGGTTAGGACTCATTGCTTTCACTGCCTTGGCCTGGGTTCGATCCCTTGCTGGAAAACTAAGCTCCCACAAGCCACACGGCACTGTCAGAAAACAAAAAGAATGGGAGTTGGTTCAACGTCAGAATGGCCTGGCCCATCAAGGGGCCCGGGGTGCGCAGAGAGTCCCTGGTCTTCTTGGTGCCTGGGCTCCTCACGGGCATTTCAGCAAGCCTAGCTCAGCCGCCCTGGTTTTCAAGGCCAGTGTGTTACTGGGCGATGCTTCAGTAGCCAAGCAGAGGAGGACAGGCGGTCTGTGCAGCGATGTCTGTTAGCTGCAAACTCGGGCGTAAGACGCAAGGCGAGAGGGGAGGTGTTGGCAGCCAGCTGAGCGCAGTGGAGATACCGAGCCCCCGGCTGCCACACGCGCGCTCTGTCTCCCACAGGCTCTGTCTCCCAGCTGCTGAATTGACTGGGTGCTGGTGTTTTATGTTCATAATTCTTCTCGGGGAGAAGAGGCCACAAAGACTAGTCTGTTCATTTGGGGTTTTGTCTGTTGTTTTCTGCAACAATTGGGACTTTCACAAAGAATAAGCCAAGTATACGTTCACGCCAAGAGCACAGGAATATTCCAACATTATTGTGAGCTGGTATTTGTCCGGCTGCTTTTAGTTCAGAATTCTCAAGTCATACCATAAATTTTCAGTATCATAGAAAAGAATGATAGATGTGGTTAAAATTTGCGTTTTATACAAAAGAAATTAGCTCTTGATACTTGCTCCCACTTATGTAGAAATTGATGCCGACATCCCTGCAAAGATACATTTGCCTGTGTTTAATGAAATAATGCTGGACTTTGATCTTGGCCCAGGCAGTGATGATTATAAATGCATTAGCTTCTGGTGGCCCCTCTGTATCTAGTATAACTACATCCCATAAGCAAAGCAGAAGAGGCATGGGGACGTTTCTAGAAATCAGTAAATGGTGGTTTCCTGTCTTTTCCAGTTTCCCCTCACCATTTAGAAGCTCATTTGACATGGTAACTGTTTTTCAGTCGCTCAGCCGTGTCTGACTCTTTTCGACGCCATGGACTGCAGCACGCCAGGCTTCCCTGTCTTTCACCGTCTCCCAGAGTTTGTTCAGACTCATGTCTATCGAGTCAGTGATGTCATCCAACCATCTCGTCCTCTGTCACCCTCTCCTCCTCTCTCCTTCAGTCTTTCCCAGCATCAGGGTCTTTTCCAATAAGCCAGCATCAGGTGGCCAAGGTATTGGAGCTTTAGCTTCAGCATCAGTCTTTCTAACGAATAGTCAGGGTTAATTTCCTTTAGGATTGACTGCTTTGATCTCCTGTTTGATGTGGACCAAGAAGCTAATTAGAAGAGGTGGTCTTGCCCTTGACTGGCAGGTGGAAAAGTTCAGCCAGAGAGATGGCCCAGGGAGACAGAGCAGAATGGGAGCTCCGGGTTTCTGACTCCTCGGCTGGGCGTGGCTCTGAGTCTGCACTGTTGAAAAGACAGCAAGTGTTGGAAAGGAACTCGAAGCCCTGAACTTAAATGTGTGACACAGCCTCCCATTCTCAGTTCGTAGGGATCGGTGTCATTTTCCCCGTGGATTCAGATGTCTTCCCAAGGGACTTGTCAGTGGGTTATCAGAGAGAGCTCGGATGGGGAATCTCGTGCACCCAGCCGCACAGACCTGGGGGCGCTGCCTTTGCGGGGGGACAGGTATGTGGTGAGGCCCTGGGGATGAGGTCTGGTTCCTGTCCGAGTCCCCCTACGGGGTGGCACACGCCCATGTTGTATATCACATATTGGGAATGCAGAGCGCCTGCCCAGAGCGCATCGTTAGTGAATGTTCTTCTGTTGAGAACAGTGTGCATGTGTTCACTAGCGTGTGAAACTGTGGGTGTTTGTATCCCACCTACAAAACGTGTATATGAGATGCTCGGGATGAGAAGCAGATCTGCCAGGAAAGACGAGCGCAGGGAGGTCGGGTGCAAGGACGTGTGCCCGAGAGGCTCAGACAGTATTTCCGCTGATGGGCTGTCACGTGGGGACTGGAGGAACCCGGGGCAGTAAGAACAGCAACAGCTCATCTGACGAGGAGTCCAGCCCTGCCCCACCCCTCGTGAGCCTTCGCCTGCCAAGTAAACTCTCTCCCCAGGGCTCCCCGAGGGGTGTGATGGCCTGAGTCACGGCCACATGGTGGGGTCTCCTGGTTCCTCCTCGCTCGTGGTCTGGAGCCCGTAACCATGTCGAGATGAGCCAGACCCTCTGTTCACTGTAGCCCCACATGCTCCGTCCTGCAGACCACGGCCTGCCCGGGCACTGAGAACTGGGCAGACCTCTCCCCTCGCCCCCCACCACCAGGGACTGTGTAGAGGATGCGCTGGCCTCGCCTGAACCCCTCCCTGGGAACACTCAAGGCCAAGCTTCTACCTCTGTGCCCATGGCCCCTCTGTCTTCTCAGGAGCTGGTTCCCTCACACCATGAAATACAAGAAAGTCACAGCTCCTGAGCTTGAATGTGAAAAGGCAGAGTTTTCAAGTGTGCATGTGTGTGTGAATGTATAAATACACACATTGTACATAAACGCGTTGTCTCTAAGTTGTAATTAAAGGCACCCTGAGGGGGGAGGGAAGAGAAATTAGAACAGCATTTTTGCCTCCAAGGCGACACGCTGCTTTCTGCATGGATGCTCTTTTGGTAAAGCTGGTCCTCCCAGGGACCACGTGCCAGCATCCATGGATGCGTGCCTTCCAAGGCCGCCAGCAGCGCTCGTGTCTCCCCCTCCCCTGAAAGCTTGCCTGCTGCTTTCTTGCAGCCTGCTGCTGCATCCGTTTGGTGCTGAAGCCGCGATGTTCCCCATCTCTCCTTTCATGGCGGGCTTCAGAGATCCCCACCTCTGTGAGCGTTCTTCACAAAGAGGGCGGTAATCGGGGTCACTGCTGGGCTTTCACGGGGTTTTTATCTTTTCCCTCTCACACAGGGGCGGATCTGTAGAAAAGCTGGCAAGTCGAAAAAGTCCTTCAGTCGCAAGGAAGCCGAAGCGACCTTTAAGAGTTTGGTGAAGACTCATGAAAAGTACGGCTGGGTCACCCCGCCTGTCTCTGATGGCTGATGTTTGCAACGTGCACTAGACGCTTAAGCTGCCTCTCCACACACACAGACACCCGCCATCTCCTCTCCACGCTGAGCACCCTTCATCCTTTTTATAACTCCAGCCTTCGGAACGGAATCCTGAATACCAAGGAGACGCCTAAGTTATTTATGATCGGATGTGTTTACAGAGAGAAGTGGGGGGAAGCCAACGCTGTTCGGGATTAGGTTTCGATGATAAATGAATGATCATCTCTAGGTCACTTTAGAACACACGTCGAGATGGTGATGTTCCCCCGGCCGCCTGCCCTCCCCTCCCCCACCCCACCCCCCCGCCCCATCATTGGGCCCTTAGCTTCTTCTCATGACAGCAGCTCCAAAGAGCAGGCAGGACACTCAGCTCCCCTCGCTCGACCCGTCCACACACCCCTAGGAACGCCGCACCCCGCCTGGTCCCCGTTTGCTGTGCCCCGTCCGTGTCTGTTCCTCTCCCCGGCAGGTCAACATTGTAACTTGAAGACGCGTCGTTCCATGGCCCCGTGTCATGACATGTAGACCTCATTTGTGCTCTATGACCGCTGGTTCATGAGAACAAAACATTCAATATGGCCAGGTTCTCGGGATGGAAAACAGCAATCGCCCTCTTGACTAGACCGTGCTCCCCAGGCCGACGCCGAAGCGCGTGCAATCCGCAACTCAGCCCGCGCCCGTGGGTGAAGGCGGGATGCGGTGGCCGCAAAGGGGCACACAGGTGCAGACGCCGGGCGGGGTGGGGGGGTGCTCGGAGCAACAGTGGTGGGGTGCGGACAGGGTCTCTTCCGACATCCTCAGACCCTCCTACGACGTTCGTGTTCCTGTCTCCTCTCTGCTGGTCGACCCACCGCCAAAAGCAAAAGACCGTGTCCCATTCGCTGACGTCGCCTGACCCATGTCCTCCTGTGTGCTCGTGACAGGGAATGCCAGAACTGCCTTCGGAGACCCGGTGACGGTAGGACGATTTGCATGGCCCAGTAGTCACTCGTGTGTCCCCGAGGCCGAGACGCGTGAGCACCCTCACTAGGATATAAACTTCTGTTACTTAATCCCCCCACGATTTCAGTTTTCTCTTCTGTTAAGTTACTTAGACCTTTCCGAAAAGTTCATGAAATGAGGAAACCACTGTTTCTTATAATATGCGGAAAGAGGTAAAATGTTCATTCCAAGTGGAAAAATCTTATTGGACACATTTTAAATAAAATCATGCATACCTGAATCCGTTCATCGTGGGCTCTCCTTCCACTGAAAGTATGTAATCTATTTTTAGGCTTTCCAGGTGGTGCTAATGGTAAGGAATCCACCTGCCAATGCAGGAGATGCCAGAGATGCGAGTTTGATTCCTGGGTTCATTTAATAGTTCAGATACTACACATGCCAGGAAGGCATTCTGCCACCATTTTCAGGAAAGGAATTTCAGGAACCCATGGTCTTTTCAAAAATCCAGCGGATTGAAATGGTCCCCAGAAGCAGCCAAAAAGACAATAGGAAACTAACTGGAAGGACTGATGGATTATTTGCCAAAACCTGGATGTTACCACTTATAGTTTAGCACCATGAAGGAAGAGGAAGCATCTTTGCTCAATATATTAAACCCTTAAGGCAGTTTCGGGTACTTGAAGACCCATTCACCTGTCCCAGGTGGTCAGAGATCTGAGACACCAAACCTTAAAGTCAAGGGCCAGCTCCTCCCAGTGGGGTTTGTCCTTGCCCAAATCTACTCTTCATTGCTACTTTAATTATTTTAACCATGTGCTCACAGCCCTGGATACAGATGCAGTTCTGGGCAGCTAAGATGCTTGACCTCTTGTTCAGATTCCCTCTGAGTAGGAGTAGTCATGAAATCCGATGACAATGAACTTAAAGCGTCCGTTCACCTGACCCTCCACAGCGGAATTCTCCATCCTGGAAGCAGGACATTCAGCCGACGGTCCCTGGGCCCCTGGGTTCCACTCTGTAATGGCATCACACGTGGGAGAGTGAGGACCTAGGGCAGAGACGCTGGTGAGGGAGAGACCTCGGTTTCTTTCTTTCCAGAAGTCCCCACTTTCAACTGTAAAATAAAAGTAACTTTCTGTTAGAAACGTAGGCACATATTTGACCCAGAGCTGGATCACTTTGGTGCTGCTCATTAGCTGATGGAACAGCTTGGCCACGGTTGGTTCAGGTGCAGCCAGGTGGTGGGCAAGGTGACTGCCAACAGCTGGTGGGGGTGAGACTGTTGGCTTGGCTCAGCTCCAACCTGTACATCCTAAACCTCCTTTGCATGGCGTTTCCATTAGTTTTGTTAGAAACCGGAAGTTATAGAAGAAATAACTTTGTTTAAAAAGAATACCAGTCTTAAATTGGGAAGACTTTTTATTTTAAAAAGCAGCAGGGAATAATTTAAAACTCAACTATTGCTTTGACTCTTAGAAGCAAGAATTCCCCTTTCTAGGGGCTGGAGGCAAACATGGCAGGGTTGGCCAAACAGTGGAGGCTGGAGGGGCTGTTCCGTGATGACCCTGCATGTGGGGCCTGCCTGCCCTCTGAGTTGGGCTGGCTGGGCTCATGCTCCCACACAGGCCAAGAAGCCCATCCCTCTGCAGGCAGACAGCAAGGGAGGAATTGGACTGGCCAGCACGTGTTCAAGGCCCACCATCTCCACACCCCCGCTCATGGACGGGAACTTGAATCCAGCCGGTGCCCACAGAACCAAGGGAAGAAAAAGGCAAACCCCCACGTGCCTCCTTTCCAGTCAGCGGTTTTCCTGGACTGACTGCCCGAGTCCCTGCGTGTCCTCTCCACAGCAGGCCAGGGGCTGTGCGGGGGACCTGTGCGTAGCTTATGGTCTTTCTGAAGATCAAGAACTACTGCTGCTTAGGAAGTTCTTGGGCTTCCCTGGTATCTCAGATGGTAAAGAATCTGCCTGCAATGCAGGAAACCCAGATTCAATCCCCAGGTCAGGAAGATCCCCCTGGAGAAGGGAATGGCCACCCATTCCAGTATTCTTGCCTGGAGAATCCCATGGACAGAGGAGCCTGGCGGCCTACAGTCCATGCGGTCACAGAGAGTCGGACACAATTGAGTGACTAACACTTTTACTTTCAGTAAGTTCTCTGTGATCAGTAAGGTTCCACATACACACATACAGAGTCTCTGGAAGACTAACAATTTCTAAAATTCATTACTCAGAAAAAAAACAGGGTTTAGACCTCGATTTTTCAGCCCCCAACTTCATCCCATTTATCACAATTCAACCTTATTTCATGAAAGGAAACTTGGCCCTCATGAAAAAGAGCCAGTATAGAAAGACAAACGCCCGCAGTGTCTGTGTGATTTTGGCGATTCACATCATCTGTTTGAGCCTCAGTTCCCTGAGCTATAGCTTCCCTCATAGCTCCATCACAGGGTTGGGAAGATCCGCTGGAGAAGGGGTAGGCTACCCACTCCACGATTCTTGGGCTTCCCTTGTGGCTCAGATGGTAAAGAATCCTCCTGCAGTGCGGGAAACCTGGGTTCGATCCCTGGGTTGGGAAGATCCCCTGGAGAAGGGAAAGGCCACCCACTCCAGTATTCTGGCCTGGAGAATCCCATGGACAGAGGAGCCTGGTGGGCTGCAGTCCATGGGGTTGCAAAGAGTCGGACATGACTGAGTGACTAACACAGCCTTATTCCATGAACGGGAACTTGGACCTCATGAAAAGACCCTATATGGAAAGGCAAACACCCACAGCGTCCGTGTGACTGGCGACTCACGTCGCCTGTTTGAGCCCCGGTTTTCTGGGCTGTAACCTCCAACCAGGTTGGCATGAGAATGGACTTAAACAATGAGGGAAAGTGCTTGGGAAGCAAATAACTGCCATGTGAACTTGAAGTGTCATTTTTAGAGCACGAGGAAATGTATGTTGCAACACACTTGGATGAAGGCTCAGATTGAGCAGTTACAACAGCCCAAATGCAATCAACTCGGAATCCCATGCTGGCTTCTGTCGTCAGCCCCTTCCTTTAAGTCAGTCAGGCACACTCAGTGTCTCTCTACCCACTCAGATCCAGGGAATGTAGAAGTTAAAGACGAAGCTCCTTCCTGGAGAACTTCAGCAGACAAGAATAGCACACAGACAGCTAAATGCTAAATCGCATTGCAGCAGTTGTGGCTCAGAGGGTTCCTGGCCGATCACCAGGGAAGATTTCGGAGTGAGGCAGCTTTGAGCTATGGCTGGGCAAGAGGGAAGGCTGGGGAGGGGCAGGGTCTCCGTCCACACTGGCCCAGGAGGGGGGACTGGACAGCCACTTGCCCCTTCTCGCTGCAGGGACTCTGTCTGCAGATCTGATTTCTGGAGGCCGGACAGCCTAATGGCCTCTGGGGCTACCCCCTTCCCTAAGAACTGGATTCCCACATTTCATCTGAACCCTCCCAAAAGCATGCAGAACCTTCACGGAATTTGCTTGCTAGAAAAGGAGAGCTGACCCCAACTGCAGTGAGGGCAGACCCACTGAATCTAGGAGGAGATTAAGTCTAACTTGGTGCACCCTACAGTGGAGCCAACAAGCCCAGCGTAGCTCTTCCAAAGTCAGCCAGAGAGGTGACAGCAGGCCACTGTCTTGGTGGTGCTTTCTGGTCCCCCGTGGTGCTTCCCACGGACCATTCAGCAATTCACCCATTAATCCCAGTGCATGCCTTTCAGTTCACTCTTGGGTCCAAAGAGCCACAGACCTTCCAAAGTTGGGTGGAAGTCACCCAAAGTCATCCACTCTGTGTTGAAAGCAAGTTGCTGTGAAAGACAGTTTGTACTCCCTCCTATTTTGGGAAGCCGTGGTGAGGGGCTTGGAGCTCAATCCATGTGGTCACAATACTCTTCTTCCCCTCCCAAGACATTAAAATAATAGACAGCTTCACTCCTTAACTTTCAGCTGTGACGCTATGGTCTGACTCATCTGTTTGATTTTTTCCGCCTCCAGTTTACATAGTATTGAGTATCCCTCAATCCCAGGGCCTATCTGACCCGTAAGATATGACCAACCAATGAACTGGGACAGCCAAACACACACTGCTGTCATCAGGGCCGGCAGTAAGCACCGTCAGCTCGGTTCCAGAAGAAACACAGGCGCCCTGTGTGCTGGCCAAAGACGCATGGTCAAGGCAGAATGTTTAAAGAGGACGCAGATCCGAAAGTACTCGCGTTTATCACCAGGTCATGATAGGGCTAAGTAAATAGGAGAGTGGACAGGGGTGGAGGAGGTGGCTCCAAGGTCCTCCTCTTGGGTCAGGAAGGCAGCACGTGGTGAGGAGATAAATGCTGTACCCCTTCTCACTGCAGACTCACCACTGTTTCCTGCAGAGTTTCAACAAGGAGGTGCTTCCCTGTTTCTTCTGCCGGAGGTAAATTAAGACACACAATCGCTGCGTATGTCTAGGTTGTGGGAGTCACTGCTGATGATACTCCTTGAGCTAAAGTAGAGCTGCTGTGGCCTGAAGCGCTAGGTTTCGTGCCCCGCTCATCCCTTTTACTGAGGGCATTTTATCTCATGAACACTGTCGCCATGGTGACCACGGTAGGATGCCATCTACAGCTGTGGGCTATTGGACGCTTTCAGACTATTACCACGATGCACGCTGAGGCTTCGCTCTATACTCCTTCCAAAGTTGTCCTAGTCTGTGATCTGCAAATGAGAGCGGGGAAATCACGTGTGCCATAAAATAAATAGAAAAGAAATGCTGACTGTTAGAAGAGGTTGAATGCCTGAGTCACGTAATCTAGAGGCAAGGTCCTAAGAGGGAAAATCATGATTCTGAAAAGAAAGACTTTACAATCAATGAATGTCTTTCCATGGAATGTTTGTTGTGTCTTTGCATGCTGTGTGTCCATATTTGTCGGAACGCCTCTGGATTTCCACATACATTATCCTCTG